ATTCCGCAGTGGCAATAATTCGCGTCCGCGCGGCGTCGGATGGCTTTTGCCAAGGGATCCTTCGATAAAAATTCCAGGAAAGCCAGCGTCGAGCGTCGGCGGGGCAATTTCATTCCTGACATGGCGGCATGTCGTACGTGTTCATTTGACCCGTTAAACCGGCCGTTGTGTGTCGGTAGACCGCGGAAAAATGAAATTATTTCCGTTTTCACTGCCAATGTAAAATACGAGCGAGAACAATAGTGAGCGACGAACGAGAAATTCGTGACGGACACCTAACATTTCGCTGGAAGTTGTTGAATTATTATAGAAATGCACATGACATTGTACTATAAAAACAAAAAAAAGGATCGTTAACTCGTTCAGGGCTGCCACGAAACTGGGAATCAGGGAAATGATTTCAAATTTTTAATGAAATTTTGTCTGGGAACCAGGAAAAAGTTATGAAATTTTAGGATGAGGAATTTGTAACAACCCTGTCATTCATCTGGAAAGATATTTCAACGGTTGCAAGATTATTGTTTTTCAAACCTACTTTTTAGGAGAAAACACGTTAAAAGAGAAGGGGACAAAAAATCGGTCTACAGTTTCCTACAACAATTTTCTACGGAAATGGTAGGTATTTACGGAGTTCAAAGACCGTGCGATACTTAGAGCTTGCTCTCTCTTTCTCTCTCTCCCTCTATCTCCCTTTTTTTTTTCAATTACCATTTGATTCAATTCGCGCGTGCCTTCGAGCTTTGTTATTGCGCGAAATAAAGCGGGCAGTTTTCGTTTCGTCGAAAAATCGCGCCGATAAATTCCGGCGATTCGTTCTGGCGCGACGCCGGGGTGAATAACGGCGCCGCCCCGGTTTTTCGCCTGCAAATATATCGCACGTATCCCCCATTCCCCCCCCCTCCCCCGGACGCTGCATATACTAGGCTATTTTTTTTTAGCGGCCGGTTTCCAACGCTGGACCCCTTTAACGACTCATCCGACACTTTTAAGCCTAACAGGTGGCAGATTATTGAACTCTTTCGACGGAGAGAAAAATATGTCCGTCACCTGTATCCGCCATATTTCTTCTTTTTCTTCCTTTCTTCCGCCCTACAATTCGCGTTTCAGAATTTTTTGCACGTTGCACGCAGGTATTTGAGTGCGAATCGTGATAACAGCATATCTCGCATATCGATAATTACGATCGCATTGATATACCTAATCGCGATAGAATCTTTCAACTTTTTTACGAACAGTGTCATTCATGTTACTCTTATCTTACTGAAACGCATTGTTGAAGATTGAGGACGCAATAGCTTATATTATATAACATATGCAGCTCGTTAGAAAATGAAACTACTGGCGAAACATGGATTTTTAATGATTTTATTAAGACTAGTTTTATAATTAACGATTGCCTTTTCTTTTAATGTGTACTAATATTTTACGTTTATTCGATAATAAATTTTTACAATATATACGTCTTTAAGCGTAATGACAAAACTTGTTGCGCATATCTTTTATGAAGCTGCGAAATGTACACATTTCCATAAATATTTTTTTTTCTCTTTTTACGTTGTCACCCGCGTAAATTTAATAATATTTAATCTGAAAATCGGCCGTTTTATCCGCGTTTGTGTTGCATCGCCCATCCAAAATAGGCGATATGAAATTACGAGCGATCGTTGCGCTCGCCGTTGCACTCGTATGTGAAGACGTATGCATGCGAGTATTTTCGAGCTTTATGCATACACACACATCCTACACGGAAATGGAAATGCCTGTGCGATGCCATGCGACTGTTCCGCTCGCGAAATACTGAATTGAACGCGAACACTCCGCCCCCCCCCCTCCTCCCCCAGTCTTCTCTTCGTATCCGGCTGCGAAAAATCAATTTGTTTTGTAGCAGTTCGATCCACGCGTTTCTCTCTTACGAAATTCCGCTTTTTGCGGAAGATTTATATGGCGACGCGAATTATCGGATGGCTTTGTCATAAAAATTGAGATCCGGTGCGTGACTACGTCCGAGAACGCGTTCTCTGATAAATGACGTTAAGACGGCTACTACTGACTGTCTTTAGAAAAGGCTTATTAATGTACGTGTTAATTATTCCTATATTTGACGAACTGAAATAGTAAATTTAATAACTTCATTAGTATAATCTAATCTTTCTAATCTAATCTATTCTATTTTTATTCAATTCAGAACAGTTGGAAATTATAATTCATTCATAAAATACAGTAAGTAGATTGGCAAAAAAGTTTGGTGTTTACAAAGTTTTGTGTTTATCAAATCATTATCAATCAAACTGTTTGTTGTTATTTTGACGTAAAATATCGTTAAAGACGTCATTTTATTTGAGTAGTAATATTTATTAAAAAACAAACGTGGAATGTTAATTATATCTTGAAATATTAAGCAGCTTATTCAAAATGTGTATGTGCGCGCGCGCGTGTGTGTGTGTGTGTGTGTGTGTGAGATCACCTTTAGCTTTGACTGAAACTTTAAGACGTTTCGGAAACGCATTAATAATGTTCGTGCATTTTTTTATGGATAAATTCTTCCTAGATATTACAATAGAACGATCTCCACTTTACCAATAAAAATCTTATAGTACATTCTTTTTTGTATTTAATAAGATGTAATTAACCATTTCAAAGTTTGTTTTTTTAAATGTACGTTACTACAAAAGTTGATGTTATTTGTCATTTTGCATTTTAATGTAAAAATGACGTTTTTAATGTCATTTTAAATAGATAATGATCTGATAAATACATAAAACGTTTGTCATTTTATGTATTTTTTTTTATATTACAAAATATATTACAAATTCAATTTTTTTTATTTTCGTAACTCTTTATGTAATATATATATATATATATTTTTTTTTTTCGATTGAAATCGAAACAATGTAGATTCGATTAAAACTTAAGTTAAATAATGATACAAAGAAAAACGTGGAATATTTATGCATGATCGGATAAAATATTTTTTGTTTCTCTTATAACATTAATTGTAATAAATGCGAGTGTCGCTCGAAGATATTATCAATGCAAGCACGTGAAACTGGTGAAAGTGTGTTGTCATCTATATTCTGCGTGAAATCTACAAAACCTGCATTCATTTTCATTTTATGGCATTTTACCATCAAACTCGCATGTGCGCTAAGCAAATCCGCCTCTTAGGGTTTAATAAATGATGTCACGCGCGGAACACCAACAGGAATTAACTGAAACGAAATACGATGAAAAAGGATTAACGGCGGAACAAAACCTTAGTAATCCTGAATCCTCTAGCGCATTACCGGATTGGCCATAGAAATTTATTTTCACGTTTTCTCTGGCGCGCTTTCTTCCGTTCTCTTCCACGCGATGAAATTTTTAGTACTGTTTCAGAAAAATGTTGTGCGCTTTGCTACATTCGTTGGCAGGCTGAATAATGTGATAAACAAGATTTTATTCATGAGATTAATACACGTACCTTTGTGCTTGTAGAACGTAACAGAGCGCAACGTTACATTTTTATTCATTAAAAACTAACATATTACAATTCCCTTGCCTGTATATCTGTTTCTCTCAATAGTGAAAAAGAAGAAACTAAAATTATAACGAATTCCACTTAACGAGTGCACGGAAACATAATGTATCTCATTAATTTTATTTTAATTGTTGCTACATGTAATATGTTGGACTGTAATATTTTTACGAATATTATCTATTCAGGATAAAAAGTAATTGTATCTTACGTATACAAAAAGTATACTTTTCTTATATTATCTAAAAATATTTGTTATTAATTTACGATAAAGTATAAACCTATTTTAGTTCTAACTTAAGAGAGTCACATATCATATTCAAAATCAAATGGAAGTAAAACAATCTCTTCCAATTGCTCGAAGCTAGCGGCAATAGGAATTTAATTTTAGCACTGGTTAGTTACATGAGGAGCATGTCCTCCACATTCTAGCACTCGATTAAACTGCGACATTTCCACGGAAACTTTTCGTTTCGCAGGTATATACGAGTTTCGCTTCCCGTGCCCATTCGGGAGACACGAAGACGTCATCTGTACTAATGTACGTTCCTTGTCATGAAAACCAGCTTAACCGATATGCGATAATCTGTTTGCCTAACACGAATCTAGATTACTGATTATTTATAATTATTATTTATACTGCTTATTATTTATTTTTTTCAGTCTATATTACTTTGCAGTTTTCACATCTTTCTTAATCTTTCGTGGTCTATCCAATGTTTTTTTTAATATAATATATTAATTCAACCGGGTCACTAATGTCTAATTATATGCTTCAAAGAATCTTTGGGTTTTACAAATCTGAAAAAATTCTGATACACTTTTTCGACATTTAATAATATAATTTTACAATGATATAAACGAAACGATTTTCACACAACGATTTTTGTACGTGTCTAAATAATTTAAAATTAGAAATTGGCTAACTGGATCTTCAAAGTCTCGGTTGAACCACGAAGGATTGATTGTGATTCGATCGCATATCTGCTTTGGCAGAAACATGTTATATATATATATACTGATACATAAACAGATACACTACATCCAAAAGATAAACCATGACGCGTTGCACTGAAAAAAAAATTTACGAAGTTTTAATAAATATTTATTAAAACTTTGTAAGTTTTTGTTAGTGTACGTGTACACAATACAAAATAAAAAATATAAATTAAATTAGAAAAGTTTAAAAAGTATATAAATTAAAGTATTGCCATTTTAAAAGAATACTATTCTTTTCTAATTAGAATTAATTCGAAAGAGACTTTTCTTTCCTATTATACAATTGCAGAACGATTTGTTGAAATCTACAGATTTGTTTGTGAGAATGGAATGCTTTATTACATTTAACAATACACTGTTTCGACGTACTGTAGCTTTCAGGAAACGGCAGCTAATTATTCGCTTAGTTAAAGTCGAAGTTAGTTACAATTATGCGACAAACTCTGGCATGATTAATAATAACATCCATATATCTGTATTGTTCCAGATTCGTGCTAGCCTCGTCCAGTTTGACTTTCGTCCCTTCGTTAGGTGAGTAACATCGTTAACATTGTTTGCAAAATTGGATTCTAAAGCATATTTCATAGTTTATAGAATAGATAGATACACTTACTTGTGTAATTGAGACTTTGAGATTTTTGTGGATATAGTTTGAGAAACTAGTCTTTTATCAGAAAGATTTCGGAACTAAGAATTTGCTAAGAATTTGCAGTTATTTTAGGCTAGTGCGAGTTTCATCAAACGAGTAAATTTCTGCACGACAATTATTGAAACGGTTTTAACAAAGAAAATGCATTTGGCAAAGTGCAGAGGGAATGAGAGCTTGACATGCGTTACGCAGAAAAACAGCGACGAGAAAGGAGTCGTTAATAGGGGATGTTGAACAATAGCCACTTCTTTTTACAGTAGGAAAATATTAACAGAAATGTGAATGTACGCGGTCGTTGAAAAAAAGGATTCAAAGCGAGAGAAATATTTACGTCATATCTTGCATCAGATATAACGATAAATCTATTGGATGAGTTAATTGCTACAAATGTCTATAGATCTGCGAGGTGCAATTTTTATCCACCTATAAAGATTTGATTTGTTTAATACGTTTTAAATATGTAACTTCCCGCCGCCGCTGGCGATTGGAGTCTTTAAAGACACTCGACGTTTCGATTCTGTAAATTTTAATACAGATAAATTTAAATCTGTAAAAGACAAAGTACAGATAAAGTCCGACTTCTATGATAAAAACTCGTTATTTAAGTGTCAAACTTCGACATGAGTTACATCAAAATTTGTTCAGACTTTTATATAATTCAAAAATAATAAAAAATTTGTCCTGTCCCTCGAAGATTCTTGCTGACGGAAAGGAATTAAAATTTATGCGGAGAGTTAAAAATCTAATCATGTTGAAAACAAGACGGTACAAATTAATAATTGTTCGAAATTTAGAACTCACATTTTTGGGCGCAAATTTTGATTTATTAACATCTGAAAGTGGCACTGGCTGTCATTTGGTTAGTTTCTAAATTTTATTCTTAGTTTGCATACGTATTGAACGATACGTCGGTATTAAATTAGATTCAGTATGAAATCCACATTTAAAGCGGAAATATTGTCTGTATTGCGAATATGTCTGTATTGTATCAATATGTATTCAACTTCGTTATTTGACTTTGGGAAGGTATTGAGTATAACGAATACGCTCAGACGCGATTCTTTCGCATAGAAAAGCATGCAACACAGAAAGAATCGTTAACGACGCCGTGTGCCAAAGGGACTGTGTGAGATGGTAAAAAGCACGTGTGCAACTGCCTCCGCTCGAGTTTCGCGCGCGTATTGACGCGTGTGCATTTGCAGACAAAACTGCGAAGATGAAAGAGGGATAGCGTTGGGGAATGGGGATAAGGCGAAAAATCGGACTATGGCGGCGCCGCGGCGGCAGGGTGACGGATGGAAAATGCACTCAGCTCTCTCGATTCAACCGGCCACAGTGGTAACGTAGCACTTTTCATCCTGCGATCGATGCGTGGCCGCCACCGCCGTCGCCGCCGCCGCCGCCGCCGCCGCCTTGAAAGCGCGCGAAGGAGCGACGAGGAGGATCGGCTCGAAAGAGGAGTCGGCGAGGAGGTGAAACGCGGTGGAGAACGAAGAAAGGTGGGTGGATGGGATGGACGTGCACCATCTTGCACTCCATTCCGCGGCACTCCATACCACTTCTGCGTCGCCGCCTTCGCGCCCGTCTCTTGCTCGAAGCCTTTTCTTTCTTCGCTTTAACTCTCTTCGCTCGCTTTCTTTTTTTTTTTTTTTCGCGCACACTCGTCTCTTTCCGCCCTCATGGCGTTCTTGGCGCCGAGCTCTCGAGGATGAATCCCGAAGTGCCGGAAGATCCAGGACTCGGAATGTTGCGACTGCGAGCTTACACGCATCGCCAGTTACGAGGAGAGAAACGAGATTCACCCCGTCTTTTGTAAAGAGAAGTAGTTCGTACCGCCATTTCTCGAAATTCCGACGTCTCATCTTGCTTACTTCGCGGAACCACCGCGTAAGTACGATTGCAACGAGCCGTGCGACTGCCTTCGCATTCCTTTGCGGCCGGGTTAACGGATAAAATTGTCCCTTTGCTCGTGAACAATATCTTCGTTCAACGCTTTCGTCCTCCTCTAACAATGATCCTCTAATGTGGAGACACTGCCGATGTAAGCCGATGATAAATGGTATATGTGCGAAAAGGTAGATTATGCATAGGGTTGCCGCAAAACTAGAAATCAGAGAGATCTGGGAAATGCGTCACATGGGAAAGAAAGGTTCCCTGTCGCCGCTAATCTTGGTTTGTTAAAATTTATTTGCCGTCGTAACCATAAATTTGTAAACTATAGCGAGAGAAATGGTTTGTTATAATATAGGTATCATAGCTAAGATATTAGCTGTTTATATTTTACATTTACGATTTAGTTACCACACGCAGTTTAAAAAAAAAATTAAAAAACGTTAAGAAAATTAAAATTTTTGTTTTAAAGAAGTTTGATGTACGTGCATCACACACCTACGCAGCTTTGAAATACTTCCTTAACAATTAATTGCAAGTAGTGTCAGTAACAATAATTTACATTACTGTATTAAATTTCTCTCAATTAAATATTTGATTTGTAAATTAGGACGAAAATAAAAAAATTTCAAAATATTATTGAAAACATCAGGGAAAATTATTGACATTTTGTGTGGAAATCAGAGAAAAGTTGTGATTTTGGGATGAGGATTTGTGATAATCTTGTTTCAGAAACGTGTCTTTTTACTTACCGTTTCTCGAAAGTTTGGTAAAAGAAAACTGACCTTAGGCATAGTTAGTTTCAGTGACCCTCTTATTCTTAGACTCGTTTTGGTCGTTGACACGAAGGGTGGCATTCTCCCCCGTGAAATGTTTCTTCGTAAGTAATTACGAAGAATTACTCGAAGCTATATTATTCTTTTTAAATGGAACAATTTCCTACTTAATTTAAGTGCTTTGGCCTGCGTGCGATGTCATGTACAATCATTAACGTAAGAGGCAATTCTAAAGGAGTTTTATATCCTATTCTATTAATAATTGATTATAGCAATTAAATTGTATACATGGAATTTTTTGTATACCGTTAATATGATTGCGTTTTTACTTTTTTAAAATGATTCGATAGACACGTAGTAGTGAGAATCCATTCCGTGTATTAATTTATACACACTTCGTTAAAGCTCACAGGTTTGGACTGCAATAACATAAAGTAAAATATTATATTTCTGCTGAATTGAATATACGTTATCGAATAGTGTTACTTGCAAACTTCGTGCACTCCCCTGGGCAGTGTAAAGCTCCAGTTTAAGTGACGAGTATGCGCGGCAACAAACCGTAACCGGCTTTATGGGGATAGTAGCTGAAACTCCCTCAGAGTCATCGATCTGTTCCCAATGCATGAAATTAAGACGTTCGTGACGTTATAGACACGTGACTTTACATACGTTACACTATCTGAGCATTGTTATAGTTAATCGGAGGATCTGCAATGCAGATCTCGCAAGTCAAATATATTACGATCCATTTCCACGAATAATAAGAAAGAGCTTCAGTTATAATTTCTTACTCTTCTCACGTAAAATTTTTATTTGCGTGCGAAAGACTACGTATTTTTTTTATTTTTTTTTTTTTTGGATAACTGAAGATACATACAAATTAACATGAAGTTAAGAGACTACTTTGCGTGCTTTTCCTAGATAGTTCCAAATAGCTTTCTTTCAGAGTTGGCAAGTAACGCGTTATTTGTAACGTTGTAACCGCCATTAAAAATTGCAATATCACTATCAAATTGTTTAGTATAAAAAGTAACGGCAAAGTAACGGAAAAGTAACGTCTGCCAACCTTGCTTTCTTTATATAATATTTAAATTTTTTTAAATTAACATTGCACTAAATTTTGGAAATATTTTTATCAATTACATTATTGATTATTTTTAATTTATGTTTACGACATTACGAAGAATATCTTATTGAATGTGGTGTAAAAATCCATAAATGATCCAGAAGCCGTGGAAGTAAAAATCATTCTCTTTAAATAACACGTCGGAAAAATATATACTCGTAAAGTTGGTCGTTCCAGTAGCCAATCGATATTTCTAGGTAGAAGAAAACGTAGTTTTCTCATTGAAACTTTCCCAAGAAACAAGAAGGAATTGTCGAGAAGCGAATGGGAATAACGTGTCTGATCCTATTGAATTTTCTTTCATTGTTCACAGCTAGATGATTCGTGCGTGCCAGTCGACAATATTGATGCTAATCATTATTCTCATCGAATAAATGAGATTTTCTCGTTGTATCGAACTTATTCAACCGCGCCAGAATAATATATTCCGCATTAATAAGATGTTTTGTCATCGCGTTTCTAAATTTAGGTTACTAGTTACTCTTATTTTGGAAATTATATCACGCATCAATAATCGTGTCATATAACAAGCAATTTGCGTTAATTGTAATGCTACGTTAAAACGCGACGAAAAATATAAAACTTGCTACACGAATTAAAAGTAATTTTTATTGAAGGTTATGATCGAAGTGTGTCAGCATTAAAACGATAAATTTATATTGCTTGTAAGAATACGATGATGTTATAAAAATAAACTTTATCGTACAAATTGCTTGTTAAAGTTCTGCATTTATGATATATGCAAAAATATGTACGTCGTTATACAATAGTAAATGGATGAAAGTACTCTCTAAATCTCTTAGAGTGAAAATTGAGTCAGTCTTTGAAAAAGAGTGAGAATATTTTCACTCTTTTTCAAAGAAAAAGAGTGACAGATTTGTGAGATTTCACTCTTTTGGAATGAGATTCTTTTTAAGAGACGAAATCTTATATTCTAAAAAAAGGAGTGAGATTTCATTTATTTGGAGAGTGAATCTCACTCCAAAAAAACAAAAATCTCCCAGGGTGAAAATATTTTTGCTCTATTTCAAAGATTAGTTCAATTTTCAGTCTTTTTAAGTGAGATTTCACTCTAAAAGATTTAGAGTGT